ATACTATTAGTACCTATGCTATAGGGTTGTTCTTTAAATGCATTATTCGATTTTATCAACATATGTCACTGGTCTTTTTACTCTTCTATGCTTTAAAGAGTCTGTGAAGATCCATGGATCTAGCAACTAAGAGACCTTTGACCTTGGAATAGTTGGGTGACACTTTAAATTTATATGGCTTGAAAGCAAATTCCATTGTAATAAGCTTAAAAGAATTATATAATTTCCTTATGATTGCATTTGGTTTCCTAGTGCACTTTAAATAAACAGCAGAGAATGTTTTATAACCACTACTACTATTTTTTTTTTTCTTGAACTGTACATTAAGGACTTCTTGGATGTAGAGCCAGGGAATGGAACACAAGTGTCAGGCTGCTCCTTTCCACATCCATTTTTGTAAATAAAGTTTTATTGCAACACACTCTTCTATTGACATGAGTTATCTGTGGCTGCTTTCATGCACCAGTAGCAGAGTTGGGTAGTTCCGACAGAGATCACATAGACCACAAAGCCTAAAACATTTATTGTCTGGTCCTTTAGAAAAATAAAGGTGCTTAATGCTTTCTTAGACTTCCTGTTTCCGGTTGTGTTTCTTACAGTATTTCTCCCCCCCCCCCCCCCCCCCAACACACACACCCCAGTAAAGCCAGAGGACCCAGAAATGGCATGAACTGGCTAGATAACACAGAAACTGAGTTACTCAGGGCTTTGTCCAGCTGTAATGTGAGAATCAGGCCATCTTTTCAGGGAGATGATGAGAAGTGGTCAGTTTTGAATCTGGTTACTCCTGAGGGAAGAAAGAATCTCTTTTTTTGGGGGGTGGGGGTGGGGGGGGACACATTCATTCTTGTTTAAAGCCCCATTGGTTCTTTACTACATTTCTCTGGGCTAGAGATTACTCTTGTCTAGGACACCAAGGGTTTTGAGAAAGATAACAGAGAGGTGTGTAATTTATTCTGTAATCACTGGCTCAATCAGTTTCAACAGAAGCCTAGCATTTGAAGATAACAGATATTGTTTACTTTTGGGAGTGTGTGTGTGTGTGTGTGTGTGTGTGTGTGTGTGTGTGTGCATGCGCATAGCTACTGAATTAAAAATCAATCTATTTAGTCACAAACACCACTTCACACCTATCTTTTTCTCAAGACAAAATTAGAAAGTACAAAGGAAATGCATTATTTCTATCAAAGTGTAGGGAAAAACAATCTTAGGGTAAGCACAGCTGAACCTAGACAAATTAAAAAGAAACATTTGCTGGCAACATTCTCATCCTACAGAAGAATGAAGAAAGGGGGAATATTCTATTCATGTAAAACAGGGAAGATGGGTGAGAGAGGAAAAGAATGACAAAGGTGGGCTCATTAAGGGGAGGGCAGTGTACCAGCTTAGGGGGCTCTCTCAGTGAATGTGAAGAAATGGGGATGGGTGGTGTGTAACTGAGTCTTCACTATGCCCCACGCTCTATTCTAAGAGCTTTTTAATGAATTACCCTTTAAGCTTCACAATGCTGTAAGCGAGGAAATAGAGGAACTGGTCCGAGGTCACACCACTGGTAAGTGGCAGAGCTGGGGTCCGAATCCAGGCCTGTTGGCTTCTGAGTTTTACCAAAGTGTCAGCCCCAGGAGTTTAGCTGGATTCAGCATCTGCCTATTATCTATGAAACGCTTGAGTCTAAATGACATGAAATCCACCTTTATCCTCCAAGTAGAGCTTATCTTTCTTTCTTTTAAAACACTTTATTTTTAAAAATATATTTTATTGATTTTCCACAGAGAGGAAGAGAGGGGGATAGAGAGCTAGAAATGTTGATGAGAGAGAAACATCGACCAGCTGCCTTCTGCACACCCCCCACTGGGGATATGCCCTCAACCAAGGTACCTGCCCTTGACCAGAATCGAACCTGGGACCTTTCAGTCCGCAGACCGATGCTCTCTCCACTGAGCCAAACCGGTTTCAGCAGAGCTTATCTTTCTTTCCTCCTTTTTAAAAACATTGATTTTTAAATTATTCATGGAATGTACCAATACATTGAAAAAGTTTGAGTTAAAACATCACAGAAAAAAATGTAAGTCATTATTTCTTTTGATCAACACCCCCAAATTCCTATTCCCTCCCTGTTATCCATTCTCACTGCTATCAGTTCAATGTATATAATTTCAGATGTTAAAAAAAACCCCACATTTAGATGCTTATTACGTATTCTTTTAAAATATATGATAGTGTTTTGACCCCTTTATTTAAAAAGAAAACACACAAATTGTATGATACCACACTTTAGAGGTTCCCAAACCTTCTTGGCTGATGGCTTTCTTAGCATCTTAGTAATGTTTCCTACTCCTACATGACAGATACAGCCAATCGACCATGGCCCTCCTCACTGAGCCTTCATCCTCCACACTCCCCCCACCCCCAAACCCCATCTCAGAACCCTCTCATAGCCCTGGGAGATGGCCACTGACTAATCGGGGTGGGCACACAAGGTGAAACTTACCTGTCATCCCTGGAGGCAGAGAAAAGGTGGAGAGGTAGGTTGACCTTAGGCTGAGAAAGGCCAAGGAGTTCAAAGGATGACAGGCAAAGCGAATTCAGAAAACATGTTTATATTTCATTGGCAAAATGACTGGTGATTTTCCTCTGTGAGATAATAGCAGTAGGTATTGATCTCTGGCTGCTGTTATTTGTTTTCTTGCCTTAGTTCTAAGTTATTCTGTTTATTTCTAGAAAAGTAATTTCATCACCAGACACCCCTTTAATTATTCTCTGGGAGTCCATGTATTGGAAGATGTTGGTCTATCAATTAAACCGCACTTAAGTAACAGCAACAGCATCAGCAAACAAGCATTTCTTGTTTTCCATGTGCCAGCCACTGTTTAAGTGTCTTGTGTTTAATATGTTTTAAAATGCTTGCAAGGTAGATGCTATTACTATCCCCATTTTATAGTTGTTGAAATTGAGAGACAGAGAGGTTAAACATTTTTGCATAAGGTTATATAGCCAGTAAGTGGTAAAATCAATACATTTTCCACTCATCCATTGTAATGCTATAAAGAACAAACATTATTTCTGACTAGAAGGAGATAATAAAAAACTAGAATAGTGGTTTCCAGGGGCTGGGAGGAAGGCTCAGAAAGTTATTGTTTAATAAGCATAGAGTTAAAATTTTACAAGATAGAAAAAGTCCTGGAGATGGATGGTGGTGATGGTAGCACACCATTATGAATGCATTTAATACCGCTAAATTGTACACTTTAAAATGGTTACAATGATTATGTATATTTTGCCACAATAAAAAAATTGGGGAAAGGGAAGATAACCAGGGCTTCCAAAATGAGGTGATATAATTTTGGCCATATGCAAAGAACCTTGCTATTTGAGCTTGTGCAATGTATCTGGTGATTTTCTGTTAGAGTCTTTGTGAAAAGACACCGATTCTTTTTTTGTTTGTTCATTCTCACCTGAGTATATTTCCCCCCATAGATTGTTATAGGAGAGAGGGGAAAGTGAGAGATAAACATCGATGTGAACGAGACACATAGATTGGTTGCTTCCTGCCCCAACCCGGGCTGGGGATTGAACCTGTAATTCAGGTACATGCCCTTGACCAGGAATCAAACCCACAACCCTTTGGTGCCCAGGCTGACACTCTAACCACCAAGCAACATTTGCCAGAGCACTAGTCTTGTTTTTGAAGGCCACAGAGCTCTCATACTCTGGATTGGAAACTCCTGGTTTGACCACTAGATTTTTCAGTTCCTGGTGAAAGAGAGAACATTCATTGTGGAGAATGATCCTTTTTAGAGTGAACTGATCCATTGGGAGGCTGCACAGCCAAGGCCCAGGGCCTTGCTCTGGAATTCCACTGCACACTGCCCTCCCAGTTATTCACTGGGTGACCTTGGGCAAGTTGTTTAACTCCTGAGCCCAGATTTCTCATCTGTAAATGGAGTGGTAGTGATGGTCCATGGAGACTTTTAGAAGAGTACCTGGCACTTAAGTAAGCACTCAGCAAATGCTATGTCTTGTTAAACCTTATCGTTTTGTATTACATCAAGCAATAGTGACAATGCAGAACCTTGAGGTTTCTGGATGACACAATGAGAGAGAAGTGTAAGCACTCAACTGATAAGTGTCCCTCTTCCTCCCCTCTATCAAACAGGGTTGGGGGGATCCATAGTGGGGACTCCCAGACCTGTTGGTGGATACCCAGTAGCAACCCCCTATTGTCTTCATAAATTATAGGTGTATAAAGTGATGTTTCCTGACATTCCCTAAGTGGTTTCAGGAACATCATGTGATATCAAAAGCTGCCCAGATCTCAACATGTTGAAGTGACCATCACATATGTGTGGAGAGAGCTGGTCACAGGGACTAGCATGAAGTCTGCTTTAGATGCCTGTCCAGGTCTTTGAGCTCCTTTGTTTTGTGAGGGAGCTGATTTTCCTTCATGATGACCTCAGGCCTCTGAATTGAGATATTAAAAATAATTTGTTCTCCCTACCATAAAGGAAGAGTCAGCTCTGTGCTTTGCAGGGCTTATGCTGGCTTGACCCACTGTTAACCCAGGAGGAGGCTGCCTCAAGGGAGGTGGGGGGCAAGGTGCTGATGCTGTCTTGGATTGTGACTCTGAGGTCAATGATGTCCAGGTCGTTAGCCATCTCTGGTTTTCCTAGAGCAATGGAGCTCAAAGGATCACTGAAGAGTCAACTAGAGCCACTAGAACATCCCAGTTAGGTGCATGTCCACTCTCTTGTCCTTCTCCCCTAGCAACCGTGTGACTCAAACACTGCAAGTGTTAATTCTCCTCAGTTTATACCCTTGCCTATAGTATTATGGTTGCCAAATTGTTCATGTGGGTCTTCAGAGGTGGAACCCTGAGCAATAGCTATAGGAACCAAGGCTGTACTTTGGAAAAAGAGTATCTTTATTAAATTCCTTTTAGTTATTAAATATGCATCATATGGTCCAGCCATTTGATCTACAATTTTTTTCTTTCTCTCCAGCACTGGCTTGAACCGAACAAGTCCATCTGCAAGCAAATGAAATGTAAGTGCCAACCTGTGGGTTCACCATTGTTATGAAGTGTCCAAAGATTCTGTTTCTCCACAGAGTTTTTCCTGCCAGGAAAGAGACTGCTTTAGTTGAAGAGCTGAGGGTGGGTGGGGCTTCTCTCTCCCAGGGAGGGCTGTGTGGATTCTCTCTCATTTGCTGGCCTTGGGCTGCTTTGCAGTCACTATTCCCACAGCCCCCTGTGCCTCTCCCTCTCCACCAGCTTACCCTCATGTTCCATATTCGCACAGGGGAATTGGATTAGATGGTTAAATATCTGTTACACATAATCACCAGATGCCTGGTTCCTTCTGATTGTGGGGTTGCTAGTAAATGGTTCAGGGTGGGAGATGCAGTCTTCGGGGGCATATTTTGAAACTAAAATCTTGCTATATCTTTACTGAAGAGTGCGTTGTGCTTTTCCATCCCTCAAGTTCCCTAATATAAATTTCGCCCCCCCCCCGCCCCCCGAGTAATTGTTTGCAAGCTCTGGTGTCCTGCCCTGCCCTTTTAAATATTTTATTTTTTTTTCCTGATGAGCTCATGGAGAGGTCCCTTTGGAAAACCTTTCTCTGAGGCGTTGTGAGGAGGGTGTTGACTAGTGGTCCTGAGTGGGCATGGTTTTGTCTGGTCCCCCCTGCCAGGCTGCAGTCACCCCGCTTTTATTTGTGGTTTGGAGGAGAACTTCTTAAACGCACCTCATAGATTCACAGCTGGCCCTGACATCCATTTATCCCTCCATGCCAACTTTTCCACGGCTCTGAAAGGCAGGCGATCAATCAGCTTCTCATTGGAGATCAGGTTAGCACAGATTATGTCACTTGTCATCATCCAGGGGATTCTTTTCTTTGTCCAAATATGAAGAGGTTATTCTGGGCAGGGTTTTGAGTGGGAGAAGAAGGAAGAGACTGAACGTGGATGGCACTTTGGCAGCCAACATATTTATTCCTAGTTCTGTTTTCTCCCCTCCTCTTTCTCTCTCTCCATTCCCTTTTGTTCCTCCTCCCCTCTCCCATCTCTGAAGAGCGAACTGTCTGGCCAGTGCAGGAAAGACAGCCAGACAGCTAGCAACCATGGCTGTTGTGAGCAATGGGTGCTGCAGGGGGATGGCAGGAAAGATGTGTGAGATGAAAATGGACAGCAGAGAGCGTTGGAGGTCCAGAGAGGTCAGGCTGTGGGGTGAGGCTGGAAGAGAGTTGGGACAAGCATCTGATAAGAAGTAGAGGGCAGAGGTACCAGGAAGCTCTGTATAGAATGACTCACAGGATAATAAAAATGAGCAAACATGTCTGAGAAAAAAAATAGCCTAACTTTTATCCCTTAACTGTAAGTTTTCATATTTTTGTTTACATACTTTAAAATATTTAGACAATTTTCCAGGAAAACTTACTTATAGTAAGTGGTTCTTTGACTTTGGTTCTTAAATGTCACGAAATATGTTCCTTAGGCTGCACACAATTTTGAAATATAAATCTGTCTCATTTCAACACTTAATAGAAGAAAACATTTAAAACTTGTGAAGAATTTGCTGCTAAAGAGCTTTGTCTCTGCCATTAGTAAATCTGAACAAACAACTGAAAACTCAGTGTTTTACAAAAGTGGTATGAAGATTAACATATGACTACTGACCAGTGCCAATCTAATGACGAGTGGCATCTAGGTCTGGAAAAAGAACTGTGTAAAGGTCAGCACGTAAGCCTGACACAGTGGCTCACTGCTTCTAGGAACCGGCAAAGGTCTTCTCACTCATCACCCAGTGCTCTGAGTATGAAGGACATTAGTGAAGAAACTTGGTGTCATTTTCTCAAGATCACAAACCTGGTTTTGTTGTTGTTGATGTCTGTTATATCAAGAATTTCTGTGCTCTTGTCCATGTCCTGGAACATGAACTTGAATGTAAATTAGAAAAAAAAAATGAGGGCTTATAAAATGTGAACTCCAAAAACTGGGTCTAACCCCTGAGACTCATTCATGAATTGATCAAAAGGATCTTGTTGCAGAACCCAGACAGCTTCCAGCGTGGGTGTGGGCGTGCCTTTTGTACTATAAGTAGGCAGCGAGGGCACAGCTCCTTGTAAGAACAGTTCCTCCCATTCCTCTCCCTCACCAGAGTAATGCCCGGCTTTCAGGTCCTTTGCCCTGATCTGATGAAGATCCCTCTGTGGGCGTTCCCACAGGCGGGCAGAAGTTCAGCTGTCCTAATGAGCCTACACTTTGCAGAGGCATTACTCTTACTTCTTACTAGTGTTCTAAAAAATCACTTTTAATATCATGCTCGTGTGTTTTTTCCAACAGTTCAGAAAAGTTTAAAATGAAAACCATATTTTCTTTCTTCTCCCCAATAAATAACTGTTGTTATCAGTGTTTTATATATCCCTCTAGGAATTTTTTTGTTATATAAGCTCCCTCAACATATGAAAGGCCTTTTATCAACAAAAACAAGATAAATATCTATATTATTCTTAACCTTGTTTTCTTTTCTTTCTTTTTTTAAAAAAATATATTTTATTGATTTTTTTTTACAGAGAGGAAGGGAGAGAGATAGAGAGCCAGAAACGTCAATGAGAGAGAAACATCTACCAGCTGCCCCCCATACACTCCCCACCTAGGATGCGCCCACAACCAAGGCATATGCCCCTGACCGGAATCGAACCCAGGACCCTTCAGTCCGCAGACCGATGCTCTACTACTGAGCCAAACCGGTTTCGGCTTCTTTTCTTTCTTCTTTCCTTTTCCTTTTCCTTTTCCTTTTCCTTTTCCTTTTCCTTTTCCTTTTCCTTTTCCTTTTCCTTTTCCTTTTCCTTTTCCTTTTCCTTTTCCTTTTCTCCTCCTCCTCCTCCTCCTCCTCCTCCTCCTCCTCCTCCTCCTCCTCCTCCTCCTCCTCCTCCTCCTCCTCTTCTTCTTCTTCTTCTTCTTCTTCTTCTTCTTCTTCTTCTTCTTCTTCTTAATATATTTTATTGATTTTTTACAGAGAGGAAGGGAGAGAGATAGAGAGCTAGAAACATCGATGAGAGAGAAACATCGACCAGCTGCCTTTTGCACACCCCCTACAGGGGATGTGCCCGCAACCAATGTACATGCCCTTGCCAGGAATTGAACCTGGGACCTTTCAGTCCGCAGACCGATGCTCTACCACTGAGTGAAACGGGCTTTGGCAGCTTCTTTTCTTTAAAAAAATAGTTTTATTGATTTTAGAGAGGAAGGGAGAGGAAGAGAGAGATAGAAACATCAATGACGAGAGAGAATCATTGGCTGTCTCCTGCATGCCCCTCCACTAGGGATTGAGCCCAGGACCCTTTAGCCCACAGGCTGATATTCTATGTTCTATCCACTGAGCCAAATTGGCTAGGGCTTAAATTATATATATTGAAAAATTTCTTTATTGATTATGGTGTTACATATGTGTCCTTATTTCCCCATTAACCCCCTATCCCCTCCCCTCATGCCCTCACTCCCCTGTTGTCTGTGTCCATTGGTGAGGCTTATATGCATGCACACAAGTCCTTTGGTTAATCTATCCCCTTGCCCCCACCCTCCCCTACCTTTCCTGTGAGGTTTAATGGTCTGATCGATGTTTTTTGTCTCTGGATCTATTTTTGTTCATCAGTTTGTGTTGTTCATTATATTCCATAAATGAGTGAGATCATGTGATATTTATCTTTCTCTGCCTGGCTTACTTCATTTAGCATAATGCTCTCCAGTTCCATCCATGCTGTTGCTGGCTGGTGTGGCTCAGTGGGTGAGTGTTGACCTATGAATCAGGAGGCCAAGGTTAGATTCTCAGTCAGGGCATGAGCTTGTGCTGTGGGCTTAATCCACACTAGAGGGCATTCAGGAGGTAGCCAATCAATGATTCTCTCTCATCATTGATGTTTCTATTTCTTTCTCTCTCTTCCTTCCTCTCTGAAATTAATAAAAAAGTAAAAAAAAAAAAGAATGATAGGCTTCTTGTTCTATTAGACAGCAAATGAAGGCCTATGAGTTATAATAATTAAAAGAGGCCTAGCAATAGACATACACAGTAATTAAGAAATATCCAGAAATAGAAAAAGAATCAGTGGAACAACAAAAAATGCCAAATTCAGTCATTATTTACGAGAAGTGGGTTATAATAAAGATTGTAATTCATATCAGAGACAGGAAGGTAGATTATTCAAAGCATGATTTTGGACATCTTTTCCACTGGAGAAAAAGCTAAGAACGTATCTCATACCATACACAAGATTAATTCCAGATGAATTCAAAAGCTCAATATATTTAACAACCCATAGAAATTTTAGGTAAAAATTTAGGAGTACTTTTGATAATTGTGGAGTAGCGCATGACTTCCTAAGGAAAAACTAAAACCTCGAAGCAACAAAGCAAAATATTAACAAGTCTGTGCAAAACTTAAACTTTTGTACCAGAATATTTGGTTTGTTCACTGCACAGAGTAAATTTTCAGTAGATATTTGTTGAATCAATGACTATAAAATGAATTATAAAAAGTTAAAATACAAGAAAAATAATGGGAAGAGCATTTGCTAAAATATAATAAGTAGCAATATGCAGCATATATTAGGTGTGATGCTATGAATCCAAAGATAAACAACTCAATAGAGAAATGTGAAAATACATATAGGAGAAATAAAAATAAATGGCTAACAAACTCACAAACTCAGTACCATTAGCAACAAGGAATGTGCACATTAAAATAAGATGTTTTTGTTTATCATACTGAGAATTATAAACACTGATAATATCCAGTTGATGAGAATGAGCATGTCACCTCCGGGGGAGGTGCATTAATGGATAAAGCCATTTAAGAAGGAAATTTGGCTGTATCCTTCAAAAGATTAAAAAGGCCTCTATCTCTTGATCTAACAAGGTAATATCTAGGAATCTGTCTAAAATAAAATTTATTCCAGCACAGGTATATATTTTGCAAGGATGTCTATTGCAACATTGCTCATAACATTGAGAACTGGAAGCAATAAGAAGCCCTGCAATTTTGGCAA